CAGCAAGTAGGGTCACTACACACTGAGCCACCGTGTCGTCAATGTAAATGTTTCGAAACGTCGCGAACAAAAATATAAAATAAAACCCCAATAAAATTCGAAACGATAGTTTCATTTAAAAGTACTTACAGCTAATAATAAATTATAATAGAACTTACTTAGTGCATACAGCACGCGTCAGTTGACCCCTATCACGAGAGACAATGGGAACGCAGCCCGCGTCACGGCCAACCTCACTTCCGCACGAGAGATCTGAGATATAGGATATGCCTAGATGCTGATGATAATCTTGTTATATTTATGCTACTTTACTGTATTATGGAATTTGTTATAAATAGAAACTTTATTTTTTAATAAAATAGATACTTTGGTATTTTAGTAGCGATTTGCTTTTTTAAGTTTCCGTACCCGAAGAGTACTTACGGGAACCTATTACTAAGCCTACGCTGTCCGTCTGTCCGTCCGTCTGTCAGAGTGCTGTATCTCATGAGCCGTAATAGGTAGAGAGTTGAAATTTTTACGTGTATCTATTTGTATTGCCGCTATAACAACAAATAATAAAAAAAATAAAAATACAATGAAACATTTTTTTAACGTTCGTAATCGATCATAGAAATTAATACACTATATACATAGAGTATAAATCAAATTAATAAAAAGAACATGTAGGTACGATGGTACAGAACATTTCGTGTGCGAATTCGACTCGCACTTGACTAATTTTTATTTATTTTTTTACTAGGAGTATACATTGGGACTTTTTTTGCGTGAACCGTAAATAGTAAAAGTAAAGAGTTTAATCAAAGTTTAACCCTTTTTTGACATTTAAAATGTTAACTTCCAAAAATCTTTCCTAAACAGGCCTACACAAAGAAAGGCTTTAATTTAAATAATGTACGAAAGATAATATAACTAAATAAGTTATAGTGTGTAATTTTAATGTTGTAGGATTTATTGGTTTCATAAAAGTGTGTCGTGTGGCGTGTATATATCTCATACGATAAGCTTTCTGGGAACCAATATACTCGTATTGAACATAGTCTTCAAACTATAAATTTTGTTCTTTTTAGTGCTTTGCTTAAAAGTTAAATTAAATAATATGAAATATTTTTAATACCATCAAAATATTTCTTATTATTTATTATTTTCCCCCCATTTTAGTCCCACTTGTACAAGAGTAGGTATGTATATCCCAAGGATTACCGTTTAGGAGTGCTCTCGTGCGGAATCAGTCCTGGCTTAAAGGATCATTTTCGAGTGCTGTCATCATAATTAAAAGCATGCACATACATATGTATGTCTGTACATTTATTTAACTTCATATATACATCTATACTTAATATTATAGAGACAGTTTGTTTGTTTTTTTTTGTTTAGACGCGCTTATCTCAGGAACTACTAATTCGATTTGAAAATTTCCTTTTGTATTAGATCGGTGATTGAGGAAGGTTATAGGCCACATATCATCATGCTGCCCAAGGGAGCGGAGCAGTAATCATAAATGTCAACAAATCGGCGAGATTTCTATACATTATTGTGAAACTGATGTTTATATCGGATTTTGAACGCGGGCGAAACCGCGGGTACTGCTAGTATGTATTTATGTAGTATATCATTATCATCTACCTGCCTATTTCCCAAATTACTTGGGAACAACACAAATTACAAATTATATGAAGCTAAATAAACGCTTGTAATAATAAAAACTAATAAAAGAAGCCAAAAGAAACAGTCAATGCTGAAAGGAAAATATGTTAATGTAATCGATTATTTTTAATGATACAATTAATATTTTTTATTTTATAATTAAGTAAATATTTTTATACTTAATATTTTTCGGATGCAGTTTATCTTTTTTTAAGTTAATTGCTTGTTTTTACTTCTAATTGTATATACCCAGTTTGCACAGCGATGCGAACGGTATTATAAAATAGCACATATAATACGATTTCGCGCTTCAGCCATTATCTTTCGCACGCTCTTCCATCTATTTTAGTTAGACATCGTATACCAAACTTCAGATATTATGTACATAGGTACTTTAATTAAAACTTCATGCTTAAGCCATTGTTGTTTAGGTATATCATATGCCTAAGTTATTTCTTTTAAAATGCTGTGGTAGCCCAGTGTCTCGCAACTCCAATATTTTCATTATAATCATCTTCTTCTACATTTATATTATGTATGTAATAAAAGTTATATATGTGTAGTGTATCAACTATCTGGTATCCATAACACAAGCCTCGTTCGTAGCTTACCATGGAACAAAATGGTGATGAGTGTTAATGTCCCAACATTTATTTATTTATTATTATTATCTTCAACATCATTAAAATTTGTCTTACGACCTGAGAGAAGACCTAGCAAGTTTTCGAAAGACATGTGGAGTCCTTAATGACCGCCAACCCACACTTGACTAGCGTGGTGGACTACAGCAGACCCTCTTCGTAGTAAAGGGAGGCCCGTGCCCAGCAGTATGACGTTAAAAAAGACAGAGTATAAGTTCACTTTATTTTAACTGCACTAATAGCAACATACACAAATAATAATTTCTTAGATTTACGCGAATATTTGACATTTTAAATAAAACCATCTTTTCGGATATGTTTGCTTTACATCAGACATGATCATGGAGGCTCCGTGACTTTTTATTTAAAATATAATTACGATTATTGATGCTTATTTTGTGCATATCTACGCCACAGTACCGTATGGATGTACATATTTTTCTAAAAAAATATTCATGCTCGCTCGAAATATAATAAAACTTGTAATAGATTTTTGTAAAAATGTCATAATCTATACTATACATGTAAAAATAAGGACAGAAAGTTTATTTTAGAGTCGTAAGAAAAAATACAGTAGGTAATTGATTACATATATTTTTATTCTGCTTTGTAAATTAAAATATGTACCTATGTGATAGGTACAACCATTTGTAGTGTGTGATCCTATATTATTATGAACTTTTAAAAAATAAAAACGTACGTAATGAGCGAAACCGCAGATAAGAACTAGTATTAAAAATTAATTAATGAAGATAAACTACTAATATATAATTAAAGTTTATCTTAGAAATTTGAATTAATGAACAAATAAAAGTAAAAAATTATAATAAAGCTCAACTGCAATCTACTTCCTCGTTGAATATAAAAACGATACTCTTAATGATTATTTCTAAATTTATTCACATTTTAAATCAAGTTATTAAAAATATGGACGAAACGACTAATCAAATACTTTAACTATTCAGATAAACCTGATAATGTTTATTTTACTAGTTTATATAGCAAAAGCATGAATAAGCAATATTTGCGTGGTGGGTGATGGTCTTGAAAGCTACGCTGGTATTGGGGCAAAGTATTCTGTACTTTACATTATTATTAAAAACTAATATTGTTTGTTTGTATGTATATGATAATCTCTAGTTTAAGAATCTAAATCTAATCTAGAATTTCGAAATTAATTCTACAAATTGAGTCACGAAAATACTATAAAGACTAGGTATCTTTAAATGACATAGCTTATTTTTATACACATGCCACGCGAGCGGAACAACCTCGAATTTTAGTATTAAGTAGATAAGTAAGACGATGAAAATCGAAGTTTATACCACCTATCTACTAACCAGGCACACTGTCCTTGAACCGGAGGGTCAAAAAATATTTGGGCGTAAATAATTATCTATATTAGTAAGTATCGATTAACGTTATAGTAATCGACAGTGGAGGACGCGCTAAGTGTAACGCAAACTATAATATTATGTATATGATGAGGCAATAATAGTTGGCAAAGAGTGTAAGTAAGGCTTTGAGCATAATATAGTTAACTTAACAATATTTAATCCTATGAAAATATAAAAAAAATGACTAATTATAATCTGTTATAAAATTGCTCAAATTCTGCACAATATATTTTAATGTATTTTCGTATAAAGAAACCTAAACCTAAAATAATATATATAGCTACATATAACACCGCTTTCAAACTTTTGACCAAAAACTCCGAGCGAAGCTCGGTGGCCCAGGTACTAATAATTATATTATATATATTATAGAAAAACTAAAACAAATCTATCCCACGGGATCCGTATATTTTTCCAGGATAAAAAGCCAGCAAATGCAAAGTCCATTCAGTAGTTTTTGAGTGAAAGAGTAACGAACATCCATACATCCATACTTATAAACTTTTCCATTTATAATATTAATATAGATGTTAGCCTGACTTTAGATCAATAGTTTCTTTAAACCGTTTCGTAAAACAATAACATATATTATTTCACAAAACTGGTGGTAGAGTCACTTTGACTGAGTATTATGTGTTTCTACTGATAATGATTGGTAATAAGTTACAAATTACAATACATATATGAATATTTTTAAAATGGTGTAAAATAAATATATGTTTACAGTTTAGATTTCTTAATGATACTATTAGTTTGTTCATTTAGTTATATTAAAAGAACTTAAAGAGTTAAGATTTCATGTTAATATTCTCACGCTCGCATTATACTCATAACTCATAAGTAGATAATTCACATCCGTGTGGCCGTGGCTTAAGTTTCAGCTTTTCAGTGTATTTGCGCGGGAGTATACGTTATGATTAGGTCAGTCTACCTGAATCTTCTCGCGGTGCTTACAGCCTCCCGCATAAGAGATCACGAAAAACACCGCCAACGTGGAAAAATTTTGATAGTTTCCAATTATATTGAGTAACTGTTTTAGATAAAAAAGATAGTTTAAACGTTTTTCACGTTTCGTTTTAATTTTGATTTCAACACTTTCGTTTTTAATTGCAACATTTTATTATAAATATGTATTGTGTTTGAATTTAAAGGAGTCTCATGTCGAAATTCTGTTTTAACCATATATTTGATAGGTGACGAAATTAACTTTCAAATTCGTTATCAGTTTTTAACAAATGTATTCGAATCGAAAACAAATTGATCGAAAATCGAAAATTTAAGTTATTTACATAGTAGTTAGTGAAAGTTTGTGAAAATGAAATGGAAGAAACAAACATTGGTCTCCGGAGATACGTCGGAGGAAGAGATCGGTCACAGCTATCTGGGAACATTGGTAAGATATTTTACAGATAAAACTACTACTAACGCTAGGAACAATATCGTGTTACAATTTGGTGTATAAATTAAAGATGTAGTTCAGCTATTTTAAAGTAAGAAAGTTTATTAATTTACCTATTCATTATTTTCACTTGAATATCTTGTGTTCGTTCTAAAGTTGGTTGGTTAGATTTTTAAGTTTCAAACGCAATCTGTTACGAAGCGATAGCGATAAGTATTACTAGTTGCATAGAACTTTCTAAATTTTAAAAAATGTTTAATTTTTAAAATATTTTTTCTTTAGTTTTTAATATTTATGTACTTACATTATTACATATACCTATGTAAGTTATGTACATAAAGATATACATATTTACCGATACCGATTACCGATCATAAATCGATTTTAACGATCTTTCTTTTAATCTCTTTGGTCTTTTTTATTTCTATTTGTATTTAGGGACTTTTATATACTTTGAGCATGTCAGTCCTATCGTATCTTAACCTCAGTTTGGTCTTGTGTTTGGACAAAATAACACATATTATGGTAGGTACCTACTCACAAATTTTCAAATCTATATATGTATGTAAATAAAAATGAAATATTCTTAGTTGGGAAGCATATCATTTGATAACAACTGGACCGATTTGCATACTTTTCCGTTAAAATAATTTGTCCGAATAAAATTGCTTGAGAAAAAAAATATTAAAAAGTTTTTTTTTTCAGAAAATTGTGAAATTCAGGAAAAACTGAATGAATTTTTGTATAAACTCAACGATCTCAAAAAAAAGCAATTTTTGGAGGACAAAATGTGATATGATTAAATCACGGTGTAACAATATATTATGTGTTTTTTTATTGCGTTTCTTGTTAACCAAACAGTTAGGTTTAAGTACTCTTAGACTTCGCACGGTGCTGATAATTTACCTAAAATTAATGAAAAAGGTATCCAAACGTATCACAGTACTAAATATTTATGCAAGAAATTATCAAGTGGATTTTTCTCTATAAAAATGTCGTTTTTATGAAAGTTTAGTAGACGTCGAGGTTTTTTGTATTTAGTAGCTAACTTTTAAATTAAATATCTGTAATTATATAATCGTAGTGGACTACTAAGGAGAGATCTTGTGAAACTACTTTTGAGGAATAAAAAACTAACTTATTTAATATTGATACTATCACACATTATTTTTTGATATCACTAAAATAAAACTGCAAATGATGAACTAACAGCCAACATGATTTGAGCAGTTGAGGGCTAGAATTTTTTTCACTTCAAGAAAACTTTACGTCGAAATTCTAATATGGGTAAAATTTCTCTTGTTGAACAGGTTTTTGTATACACAGTAAAGATTGAAACTCAGCAAGATTGTGACTCGCACTTTTCTTTTACATATGTACGCTGTTTTTGAAGCTTTTATGTACGATTATTTTTAAGTTAAAGCAAAAACAGCAAAATAACCCAGAAAAACGTTTATTAGATGATTTGTTTCTTTGTTTCCATTATTGTTTGTTAGAATATCTACCATCCACTATTTTACAAAAATAATTTCAAAAATTTGTAAAATAGTGTGTAGGCACTGTCTGTAACAAGTATGTGTTTGCGACGTCTGTAACCTTAGTCTCTCCCGTGACCATGATTGCTGAAAAGCATTGGAAACGTCGGTAACCAAAAATCAAAATAAATCCGCGAAATAATCCGAAAAGTTAGTTTTATTTAAAATGTCAAATATTCGCGTAAATCTAAGAAAGTATTAAGAGTATGAAACATTTCTCATACTTAAAGGTAGAACTTTCTCATAAAGTGTATGTGCGATCTCGCCCCTAGAAACGTCGTTATGACAATTTATAATACCTATAATATGTATTTCTTATCAAAAAATATACAGCGCATTTGGGTTGTTAACGATAGCATTGTGTGTTTGTTCATTGATTAACTCAAAAATATGTTAATATGCTAACCTATCTAATGTTCCTAATTATTAATTCGCGATATTATGATTTGATCATGTGATGCCGCAGCTCACGCGTTCGTTTACTTATTTGCATGTTTGCTTCATCTAATTTGTAATTACCGTTAATCACGACGTAGACTAAAGGAGGAGTTGTGCTACACCGATTTTGAAACAATATTAACAAAATATTGAGGTGTTGACTGTTCTTTTTTTCTTTATGTCTTACAATTTGTATAAAATTATATAAATTACTAACGACTCTACCTCGCTTCACTGGGGTCGTTCTTAGGTACGTTTTAACGGTAGATTATATTATAATCCTATATCTTTAAATAAGCAATTCTTGTATATATATTAAGTATATAATCTGAATCTCGGAAACGGCTCCAACGATTTTCATGAAATTTAGTGTATGGAGGTTTTCGGGGGCGATAAATCGATCTAGATTAGTCTTATGTCTGAGAAAACACGTGTTTTTGAGTTTTCATGCAGTTTTCTTTTGCATTATTCCACGGAAAATATGATCGGTAATTTGCACGCTCAGGCATAAGCCTCGTGGTCAAGGGCCAAGGTGCAAGATCAACGATCACAGGTGTCCAGGTTCGAATCTCGGTCGCATGCAAAGTTTTTACTTTTGTTTTTTTTACATATTTACCTATTCAAGTTTTTAGTTAAAAAAAAAGAAAATTGTACTTTAGGCCAAAAATTTCGAGCAAAGCTCGGTAGCCCAGGTAATATATAGGTATATATGTATATATAGTATATACATAGGTATGATGAGTTGTTGTTGGTTATATTATAACTTGTTTTCCCGTGGGAATAAGATAATCTCCCGCGGTAAATTATATAAATATTTTGTTCTTTTTTATCTTTAGCCCTCATCTATTCACTTGAGAGAAGTGGCGGGTGCATCTAGTATTGTTAGTATAAAACACTTAGACATGTTTTAGTATAGATATATACATATAAGTACGCTCGGAAATCTATCTTCATGGTTAAGGACGAATACCGATGTAATTATTTTATATAATCTGTATTAATATTATAAAGAAGCAGAATTTGTTTGTTTGGGACTACGTCTCAGGGATTACTAATCCGATTTGAAAAATTCTTTTTGCTTTAGATAGCCCGTTCAGGTAGGCTATAAGGCTACATGCCATCAAGCTACTACCCAAGGGAGCGGAGCAGTAGTCATAAATGTCAACAAATCGGGCAGACTTCCATACAATATTGTAAAACTGATGTTTATAATCAAACAAATTTAACGCGGGTGAGACCGCGGGGTACAGCTATTTAATATTCATAACAAAATTGACTAGCAGTCTCGTCGTACAACGTAATAAATAAAAATTTTGAACTTAAATAATAATCTGTGTGTTTGGATTATTTTTATAGGACTGATGCTTAACCTTATTTTCGTAATAGTGTTTGATTTAATTTTTTATGATTGTCCAGTCAATATTTGCAGGTTACAATAAAGTTTCTTAACCCCCGTGAAAGCTTTATCCTAAGTTAAAGAATTTGAAACTAAAGTTAAATAAAATGGGTAGGTACCATACTAAGAAGTAGCGAACTAAATAGAACTACGTCTCTACGGGTCTGTGACCATGATTGCTGTAAAGCATTCGAAACATCTACAATGAAAAGTAATAATAATAATAAACCGAGAAAAAATCTCAAGAAGTCAAATATTTATATAAATGTAAGAAAGTATTATAGTAGCGAAAAAATTAAAAGTATGTGCGTTCATAGCAGCGGAGCAGAAGTAGTGTAAAATATAACTATAAGATTAGATTTTCCACATGCCAGACCCGATATATCACGCCTTGTTGTGCTTCACTACAGTATCATAGTATCTAACCTACAAGGCTGGTTTGTATTACAAGAAGTAAAACTATGATTGTGCTTATCGTATTGTAATATTACTAGCGACTATACCTCGCTTCGCTCGGGTTCGTCCCTGGTTTGATTCCCAATACAAATTTTCACCCCCATTTTCACCCACTTAAGGAATGATTTCCAGTATAAAAAGTATCCTATGTCCTTCCTAGGGTCTCAAACTATCTTCTTACCGAATTTCATCTAAATCGGTTCAGTAGATCCAGAAATTACTCCTTATAACGTCACAAACTCACAAACTTTACCTCTTTATAATATTATAGTATAGATATACATATGTAAATCAATCATAAAAAGAAATATATTTGGTATAAATACCTTCTAAATAATATATTTACAATTACCGTAACTTGTATAAAATAGTAGTTTTGCGAACAGTAGACCTTGCGAGCACAAACTGCATTTTGAGGAGCTATTCTGTTCATCACGCCGAAGATCCTTATCAGATCTTCAATAATTTTTTTATGAGACAAACTTAAAGGTACAGAAGCAAGAGTGGAAAATTATTATATGAGGAATGGACTAATGAATCACTAGTTGCTTTCGCGCGAATTATTTCTGATTTAATTATCAATTGCGATTTAAATATCAATGAACTCCTAATATATAGATAATTACTCTTTGATTAAATAAAACAGGTTCTATTGTTAATGACATGCAATAGACCAATGGTTCTTCTTGATTTGTTATAATGTAATATTATATGTATTTATTTTTGGAATTGGGTCCATTTTTTTAAGAACCTCCTTCTCCAGACCAATTTTTGTCACAATGGCCAATCTCACTGAGACTAGCTAACTGTACGGGAGATACAACACAAGTGCAATCTTTATTGTTTTTACTCTTCAAGTCAAAAATAAGATGATATTTCGACAAGAATGGTTTCTCACCGGTCAGAGCCAACTCCGGATTGTTACTGAAAATTTTACAGAATAACAGTAAATATAACTTGGACACACCTGGGGTTCGAACCCTGGACCCTCCAGATCTATAGTTGTACAATATACATGTTAGCTACTAGACTAACGCGACATCTAGTTCATAATATACTTGTTGAAGGCCAGTATAAAGGCTTTATCTAAACATCTATGAAGCCGCTTGCAAAGGACAAGTTTAAGAGCGAGGCCAGAGTGCCATCTGTCACCTCATTATCCTATCCTG